CAGCATCATGCTCCCTTCTGTTTTTTTTTTTTTTCTAGTTGACCTTTATAAAAGACTGGGGATTTCAGGGGGGAGGGGGCCATTATTGAATCTGTCAATTAATTCATTAATTATTCCTGTCCTGACAGCTTAGCCCATAAGTGATGCTGCCGTGGAACTTAGCCAGGAGAAGAAAATTAAGGTAAGTATTTGATAAATTTTCTTGTTTAGTTTAATGAAGCTGTTTTGGTGTATAGATCATGCCCCTGCAGTCTTACTGCTCAACTCTCTGCCATTTAAGTGTTAAATCATTTTGTTTACGCAGCCCTAGGAACAGTTCCTGCATGTGACTTACCACAGCCTCCCTAAACACTTCCTGTAAAGAGTTATCTAATGTGTACATTGCTTTTATAGTAAAGTCTGTTTTATTTAGGATTTCTTATCTCCTAATGTGTTAATGGCTTGCTGGGCCACGAAGAAGCCTCAGCTATGTAAGTTTAATTTACAGAGGAATAGATAAAAACTTTAAAACTAAGTTAACATCTGATTGAAAATAACACCATTTTGTTTTCATGCAGGCTGTGTCAATCACAGCCAAGTGTGGCATACCTAGAGCTGCATAAACAGAAACAAAAGTGATTTAACTCCTAAATAGCTGTGAATTGAGCAGTAAAAAGTCAAAAGCATAATCTATACACCAAAATTGATTCAATAAGCTAAAGTTGTTTTGATGAGCATAATGCCCCTTTAATAAAGCAGTTTTAGTGTATGGATCATGCCTCTGAATTCTCACTAGTCCTTTTGCATGTATCAATACACAGGTAAATAAAATATTTTTAATTATTTTTACTCTCAGCAATGGAATTGGTTTTGCCTTGAGTGCTATTGGTGAATAATTATATATCCTCTATCTGTTCACTTTTATATCACACTTCATCGAAAAAGTTCTATTTACATCTTATATCACCCACTTTTAACATATGCCAACATGCATATTACATACAAAACCATGTAAGAAATCATCAAGATAAATAGGATTAAAATATGTCAATGTGCCATTTAATTACTGCATTATTCACATTTTGCAGTGGATTGTCTGTGATAAAGTCAGCGTTATTCAACACAAATGTAAATTGTAGGAAAATTCTAAGCAAATCCGATGTTAAATTAACAGAACTAAAAATATTTCACTTTGCATTCAGTCTAAGTACTCAATTGACTTTGGTGAATAAGCCTGACTGTTAACCTTATTTTTAGGTATATAAGAATTGAGCCTTGTTGTTGTAATGCTATAAAGACAGAGCATCATCCTACATAGCTATTATACATAATTATTCAGGTGTTTAAAACAATTTCTTGCATCCTGATGCTAAGACTAGAGTTTCAGGATTTACTTTCACTCATGCCTTCCCAAAGCGGGATCAAAACACAAAGCTTAATGATAATGAATTGAATTGTTCACTTCAAAAGTGGGTGACTGGCAGAAAGCCTAACAGAATGAGATGCCTAAGGATGATTACAAAAAACAAAAGTAATTGAATTACACAAAGAAAATACAATAAACAGTCATTAGAATTACTGTAACTAGACTATGATTAATGAGTCTTTTCTAGTAGAAATGGTATATAGTATTAAAGTTTTTTTTTACTGTATGGGTTGAAATTGTTAGTGTTTTATGATATTTATTTTGTTGTTTCAGTTTTTGATACAACTTTTTGATGAGCTGTTATCTTAATTTAATTAAAAATATATTGTAAAGCTTGTCTATCAATCACCCCTCTTCTTTTTTCATTCTTCTTTTACCTACACAGGTGTCCTCGAGTATTCCTGTGGAGAACGCAAATGGAGTAGGCATGCTGGTAATGCATTGAGAAAACCCTGAGTAGTTTGGAGGCATTTCATTTCTTAAAGGGATACTATAGTCAACAAAACAGGTTTCGATTAATGAAGCAGTTTGTGTGTATAGATAATGCATCTGGAATCTCTTCTCTGCCATTTAGGGGTTAAATCATTTTGTTTCTGTTTATGTAGCCCTACATTTCCTGCCTGTGACACGTTTCCTGGCTGTGACTGACACAGCCTGAATGAAAACAAAATGGTTTCATTTTCAGTCAGATGTAGCACACATTAAAAGTTTGTATCTTTAATTACATACAGGGCGCTCATGTATGGTCTAACAATCTATTAGCAGAGCAGGATATAAGAAATTAAACACTCTTTACAGAAATGTTTAGGAAGGCTGTGTAAGTCACATGCAGGGAGGTGTCACTAGGGCTGCATAAACAAAGTGATTTAATTCCTAAATGGTTGAGAATTTAGCAGTGAGACTGCAGGGGCATGATCTATACACCAAAACTACTTTATTAAGCAAAAGTTGTTTTTTGACTATAGGGTCCCCTTAAATTCTGTGAGTGCAGTCTATAGCTGTGGCCCAATATAAAATGTAATATTACCTCACTATGATCTGCATTTATGTTTCTATTCAGAAAAATGTGAAGCCCCACTTTTGTGTTTTTCTTTATATTGGACATACAATAAATGCTATTCAGGAGGAGCCTTAAAGGTGTAGCAGCCACCATCCACACAACCATCCTTATCAAGTTAAGTGTATATTGTAATACTACTTCTAAGCATTGAGAATAAACAAAAAAAGAAACAAATGCCATTCTTTTACAGTAAATCATACACAGGTAGAATGGCATTTGTTTCTTTTTTTGTTTACTCTCTATGATATTCACCATTTAGGGGTTACCCCCCTTTTTTGTGCCCTCTACCTTGTGATATCTAAATTTTGGCCCTAGGTTAATTCTTTTTGTTTTCCTCGTATAATACTTCTAAGCATTGTTTGGTTATTTTGTCATATTCAGACTTCTCTGACAAACTTTCTACTTTTCCAGCAACATGCTGAACCTTAGGCTCCACAAGAGAGCACCATAATCAGAGAGGCAGATTACAATGTCTCTTTATTGCTTATCTTGACAAATTGTATAGCTTTTCTTCCATTCATGATCCCATCCATACACAGGGATGTCATTATAAATGTTGGAGTTTCTTTCAAAACTGTGGATGGATATTTTGAAAACAATGATGGATGGAGAGAAAGGATAGAAAAGAAGTTAACCCACTCAGGATTTTCTCAATGAGCTACCAGTACACCTACTCTGTTTGCATTCTCCACAGGAATACTCAAGGGACTCCGATGTAGGTAAAAGAAGAATTAATTCAATGGGGGAGGGATATTTGTAGGCACATTTGTTTGTGGCATTTATTATATTTTATGTGTTATAAATGGAAATGGTCCCTGAAGAAATCCAAGGCAACTGGACAAAATGCACAGGACCTATTTTTTATTTTATTTTTATGTATACCATTAGAATAAATTCTTCTTTAATCTATACTGTGGAGAACGCAAATAAAGGAGGCGTGATGAAAAGCTTTGAGAAAACCTTGAGTGATTTGGAGGCATTTAGTTTCTTAAATTATGTGAGACTAAATTATTATGCGATTAAATATGACCCAGCATTCTATATTGTGATGAATGATAAAGTCAGTGGAATATGGAGGGTTCTAAAGAAATAACTAAGGGAAAACCATAGAGGGAGGGTGGGCCTGGGCTTCGCAGGTCCTCCGCTTCCCTCATTTGCATCCGCGTGACCGACTACCAGAAGTCATACACCCCCAATGCAAAAGAAAGGGGTGTGCCAAGTGAGAGATATGAATGGTGCATAACTTTGGACCAGGGGGGGGGGGATTGCCTAGGTCAGTGACACCTAATCAGGGGGTCAAGTGGATACAAAAACAGAATCCCAACTGACCAGATGATCAAATCAGTACAGAACCAAACTATAAATACCAAACTGGAAGATTGTATATACCGTTGTCCCCAATGTTACTTGTGTCACTTCGGATGTATCAGCTGCTGACAAGCATCAATCATTTTAAGTCTGCCAATAAAGGCAGCTATTCCATCAGTTTGCCACAATATGGTTGGAAATGAGAGCATACTTGCAATCACACATTTCACCATGACACAGTGGGGGAACTAAAGTAGAGAGGTTCAAGACATACTTACACAAACATATACACTGACAGACATCTCTAAAAAAAATATATATATATATATATATATATATACAAATAGCAAAGGCTTGTACTCCTGTTCACTTGTAGTATTACCCGGTGCTGGTCTGGCAAATCATGTAGAAATATAATTTAGCTTTTATTAACTCTATTAAAGATGTCAACGTTTCAAATCCAACATGGAGCTTTCATCAGGACAAACTGATACAAGTCCCTGGAGTACGGTTCCTTGTACTATATATATATATATATATATATATATATATATATAATATATCAGGTCCTTGCACTCATGCTTATAATCCCTTAATATGCTGGATGCCCAAGCCAGGGCTCCAAAGTATAGGTATCAAAAAAGGTGGCTGCACTCTGGTCTTTCAATAAAATCCAATACTTTATTTGACAAGTTTAAAAATTTAGGATCAACGTTTCAGTCCAGTTATGGGACTTTCTTCATGATCAACATATAAAAATATATATCGGGGGGGGCGGAGCCTAACTAGCAAGCGAGTAAGACGTGCTCTGCTTAAGCTCCCGTCGATCGGCACACTTACAGCCTAAAATCTGGGGGTGAAACGCAGAAAGACCCGCATACTGCGGCTGTATAGCTTGGGGAACCCATCACACACCCACAGACACCCGACTTGCCACACAGAATGCCTGGGAACTAAGACGGCGGACTGGGGCATATGGGGATGGACAGGCTGGGAAGGCGGCCGCTTCCCGTTCACCACTCCGGGCCACAGGGCCATGGACCGGGGGGGATATCCCGGTCCCCGCCACACGGAGCTGGCCCTGCTGCACAACTGCAGTTGGAGCCAACAGCCGAAACCAACAGACCGGAGGTGAGGGCCTCCAAAATGGCAGACACAAGCGACTGAAAAACTCATAGCACGCAGCAGCAGCCTGCAACACCCATTCACATCCCTAAAGCGAGCAAGATGGAGGTGAAGCAAAGCGGGGCAACAAACCCACACAGCCTGCCCAAAATGGCCACCCAGCCTATGCCTGAAATGCGGAGCACCAGCCTCAACACACACAGGTTCTCACTGGAAACCTTTGACTGGCTCTGCGCAGGCCTCAGGGAGGCTCTACACAGCCGGGGAGTAACTCACCGCCAAGCTGAATTAACGGTGGCTTCATGGATACGTCCTGCAGCGAGGCGCAGCTACTATATGCAGATACCCCGAGCCTCCAAGATGGCCGTCCGGCATAACAGATACTGCCGGGCCTCGAGGAGGGATGTGGCACCAAACCTCCCGTGCACACAAACCCAACAGCACACAAGAAACACTGGGGCTACGAACCAAGCGAGGCCCACACATACCAAACCTGACCGAAACCCTGGCGATAAGCGCAACACAACACGCACCTCCCTATACAAGGCAACACCGCAAGCGACCACGCGACTGCACCACATGGGGGACACTACCGGAGCAGAACCCCGAGGCAAAGACACCGGGCCCTGTGGCAGCAAACCCTACCAGGACTTAGTATGCGGCAACGAGGAAAACAGTAGCAGCGAGCAATCTGCCTCAGCTCAGATGGAGACCTGGACCCAATGGAGGGGGCATCAGCAAAAAGCTGGACTTTGGTCTTACAGTGGGACTATCGTGGTGAGAGCGGGAGTGGGGTGATCCACACATACAGGACTCTGAATACAGCATTAAGCCAGTCCCTTCTATGTTTGTACAAATTACCCAGTGTACCATTATTACATCTTTAACACCAAAGTGCAGATATGTCTCCACAGTCTCATAGAAATGTTGCCCAGGCTAACCATAAATAGCTTGACTCTATTCTGTTGTACAGCCTATACATGTATGCTTCTATCAAGGTATTAACTAGCCTTTACATACCTGGCGAGTCCACATAGTTAGACGCATACGCATTTACTACAGTCAGACAAGAGTATTATGTTCCTTGATTGTTGATAAGCCTGTTTTACATTTTACATGCCCAGTGTACACCAGCTGACTTGCATGCTTACCTTACCTTTACTGTTATATTTATGAACGTTAACCTCATAATTTGCCTAGCCTGAACTAAAACATGAAAAGTTATGTTTAAGTTCTAATCCACGTTCACTTCACATGACTATGCCTAATGTTGGCTAATGTATGCATAACCTGCTATTTACCTTGTTTCTGATATAATGTTTTGCTTTGCATCGTAGTCAGCATTGGGTAATCTCACTCGCATAATCAGTTACATCGGAAAGGTAACATTCGCTCCATAGCATCTTAATCCATCTTATTAAAAACATGATTCTATTAAGCGACTCACAAAGCTGAATCAACTACACTAGTTTGCTGGTATAGTTAACATTACACTAGACAGAGCATCTTAATTTTATTCCATGAGCAGAAAGTTAAGCAACGTTATTTCATTTTATATTATGTTATGAATATGCTTAAGTAATGACAATCGATACCGTATACCGCATAACTCAACCTTATAAAAATGTGCAAGATCAACCCTGTACCTCTATGTTTAAATGTTTTATAGTACGCTGGAGGATTGCCTTTGGGGTACCTCACAAGCGACTGTACTAAGCTTATGCACTACAAAAATAAAGAATAATAAAAAAAAAATAAAAAAAATATATATATATATATATATCGAGGAATCAATGTATAGCAAGGATGTGCAGTGGATAGGACTGACCCGTGCAGCGATAACAGTGGTTATAAAGCTGTCCGCTAATGGTGAGTAAATAGGAGTCTAAAACTTTGCTATATGTTTGGGTAGGGAAATGAGGGGATAACTTCACGCTGACCCTCTAGAAATGACTTGAAGTGGAGTAGGGAAAATAGACAGCTTGTTTAGAAATATGAGACCTCCTGAGACAAAACTGAAAGTTGGACATGGATGTAGCGGTAAATTCTGGTACATAGCAGTCTTCATTACTTAAATGACGTGGAGTTTGACAGGACTGGCGTCTAGCAAGTTTGGTAGTGAATGGAATAGTTGCTTGTTGATAGGTAAACTATGTGTTCGTATTGGACCAGATTCCAGAATGCTTATGAGTATTGTTATAAATTGATATGAAGACATGAAACTATGTTTGTTTTGAAATAGGTAAACTATGTGTTCGTATTGGACCAGATTCCAGAATGCTTATGAGTATTGTTATAATTTGATATGAAGACATGAAACTATGTTTGTTTTGAAATAGTTCAACATATGATGTTGTATACAGGATAGATGTAATTAAATAATATAGTGAGATAATGTAGGTATAAGGTAACAATAGTAAGCAATTCCTAACATATGCTAGATGCGTGATAGCCGATAGTATAGGTCATGAAGGTTCATGACCGTGAGCTAAACCAGTGACCTAGACCATGAACACCCTCTGGAATGAGGCAGCCTTGGTTACCGCTATAGGCTGGGCCCTGCGGAGCGCCTGTAAATGAAAATGAGACAGTTGACCGCAGCAATAAATATGATACATGATCACAGAACAAGAAATAGAAGACAAGATGGCAAAACAGGTCAAAACCACCAAAGGAACCAAATAATTAGTAAAAGATGATGATCACCCCTATTGATAACGTGGCGTAAGGCCCGGACGAATGACACATATTGTACTAAAATCTGACCACTGACAGCCCCAAGCTACAGCAGCAGCCACTATCAGGTACATTTGAAAAGCAGAAGTAGTTGAAACCTACAACGCACAGGACTTAGCAGGAAAAAAAGGCCAATAGTTTCTAGAAGGCAGCACGGGGGGTGGTGTCAACTGCAATCATAAAATACTGTCAGATAGATGTGGCAAAACGTACGGCTGTAAAACCTAGCCTTTTGGGATTTTCAAAGCTATTCTTCATTACATTCGACTGTTTCATAAGACCTTAATTTTGAGTATACATACTATGGAAACTACCTAATGCCAATCATCCTCCCGGCCGCAGAACACCTTGTGGAAGTAATTAATTAGAACGTTCCCTGGGTGGCCGCCGTTCGCCAACTACTGAAACGCACGTGTTTTAGCGAACGGCGGCCATCCAGATCCACGAAACGAGGGCAGCGGTACGTGGTTGGCGAGCTCATGAAACTATATTCTGATGCTAGAGTTCACAAACCTTGGGCAAATTGGACTGCTGCCTGCTTCACATCTATAAACATGCGAACAATGCCGTTCGGTAGATAGAAACTACCTAACGAAGGAAACGATCACCACTAACAGTCGGGGGAAGCATTTGATTGAGACATATTTTTTTTTTTTTGTAAAGTGGTATACACACTACAAGCCACATCAACATTTAAAGTAATTGCCAGATGGTAAACCAAAATTTTAAAGCTGCCATGAAATTAAAATGTACATGTTGTCATGGAAAACTCAGAGGAGGTTTGAGGCACAACTAAGGAAAAGTAGCGATGCATACAAGCTCATAAACCCAATGCCAGAATAGTTGCCTCTAGCCCACAGAGATGGAGACACGTATTACTGTAATATAAATACAGCACATTACAATATATATATGTGTATTAGAAGATGGTAAATTAGTGTATAGCATCAACCTATACTGGCTTATTAGTTAATGCCAAGTGGCAAAACAATTATGCTAGGTTGGTGACAGGTGAGGCCCTGCTAGTTGCCAAGCGGCTTGAGAGGCTTTATCTATCTTCGTGGCCACCGAAACGTTGTGGTGCAGTGTTGGCCTCTCATTTAAACATAAGATAGAATGGGAGTGACAGATGAGGTCCTCTCTATGCCACTATGATCTGGCCGAGGGGCGTTGTACCTGCGAGTATGAGGATGGGTGTTGGCCTCGCGGGGGAACACTAACCTAAGGCACAGAGGCCTGGGGAATTACAACTACTGGACTCCTAGGATCCTGACAGCCAGTAACAGCTAACTAAAAGGGTGGGTAGCGAATACAGGAAGTGTATTGTACAAATGAGAGCGAGTAAGCGTCGTAAAGTAGACCCATATAGGGGAGTAGAGGGACGTATGGTAGAGTAGTCATAGTGTGAAATATGAAAAACTTGCATCAGAGTATGTATAAGTAGTAAGGGCCAGATCATGGACACACGAGGCTAAGGGATATCATGAGCAACCCATAAAACCATTATGGAGGAGGTATCAGCGAAACGTTGCTCTGTATAATGAGCTCCTTGAAACCTGAAACCTGAAAATTAAAAAAAAACACCTAATACAAAAACGAACAATGAACCTGACTAATATCCCACTAAACTGGGACCTAACTAAGGTAGATGCAAGTAATACAGTATTCCAAGTAAGGGAACCTATACAATACCAGGTCAGTATGAACAGGACATCAGACACAAGGAATGAAACCCGCAACTTGTAAAAGTACCTGACCAAATAACAAACAGACATTCGAGCATAAAAACATGAAAACTGAGAAACAGGAACAAATGCAATCTGGCATACGAAAATCAACAATAATATACCAGTGATACGCAACCAACATGAGTAAACAAACGACAGTGAGACTTAATTTGAGATTAGAATGAAACCTGTGTATTTTTTGTTTGTTTTTTTAAACAAAGACTGCTATAGGGCCTCCACTGCTCGTCTCAGAATAACAGACAAATCTGGCACGTGAAGTACAATACAGTCGTGTAAATGGTCGTGAGAACCGAATTAAACAACCTAAAGGGAGTATTCATATTAAAACTACATGAACGTCACGTAGCCAAAATGTCAGGGCATAGAATAAAACAATAAATGAAGCATTCAACTGAAAAGGGACAAAAGCCCCACGACCACCGAATGGTATTATGCATACGAAACAACGTACGTGCAATAGCCTAACAGTATGTGAATGCGCATGTGCTCAGATGTCCGAGAGCCCCAATTCGGGAAAGTGTAAAGGTAAGGAAAATAAATGAATGATAAGTAAGACAAACTAATCAAAACTATCATATGCAGCCTATTCGTGCGCACGAATAAGCGAGCGCTTGTGCAATTAAAAAGTGAAACAGAAAGATACTCAATGACTCGAAACGTGTTTGTGTGAAAAGCAAAGCAATAGTATAACGCCAAACTGGGATGATGATGAGTGTCAGTGACTGGCACGACAGCTGCGGGTTACTCACCATGAGCGAGGTCTGAAGAGTCAGTGGGAAAGGCAAATCCCAACAAGACCAGGGGGATCCAGGAGAGGAGATCCAGCAGATGAAGGAAATACGAAAACCAGGTGAGAGTACACGTGGAGCTGAGAAAGCAGATGGAGAAATGGAGGTTCGTTGCGACCGGAAGTGGCGACATTGAAAACGCCAGACCACGTACGGTGCAAAGGAAGGTGAGTAGTGTCTCTAAATAGGTAAATAAAGCCACTCCCACAACTGCAGGCAAGCCTTAACATATACGTTTCTAAAAAGAAGGTGGCGTTTGGTACATATATATATAGAAAAATATGTATATGTAAAAAAATTTATCCAAAAATCATAAAAATTGTATTCAGAAAGAGATGGCAATTGAATATGGAATAGTAAAAAATTTAATTTAAAATATATGCATGTAAAAAAAATATAATAGATAACTATATGGGATTAAAAAGAAGCATAGATTGTGCAGATGTATTTGTGCATCACCATAAATAAATATCTATATTTAATTCACGTTTGAAAGTTTTAACTT